CCCCCCCTGCAGGCAGACAAGCGAGCCCACCACAACGCACTGGAGCGCAAACGGCGGGACCACATCAAGGACAGTTTCCACAGCCTGCGTGACTCCGTGCCCTCCCTGCAGGGCGAGAAGGTGAGGTTGTGGAGCGCGGTGGCACGCCCCACAGAGACCTTTTTGACTTCCCCCTCCCTCGGCTATGCCAAGCGGAGCAGTGCTTCCTCCTGCAAACGTTGCCCAGCTCTGAGGTTTTGGTGGTGGAACCCAGCGGTGCAGTCAGTGAGGGGCTGTGGGTCTCTGAAACGGTGCCACACACATCCTGGGGGCCTCCACCCCACAGCAGAACTGAGGTCTTTATCTGGCCCATGCCTTTTCCCACTATTGCCACAGGCATCCCGGGCCCAAATCCTGGACAAAGCCACAGAGTACATCCAGTACATGCGCCGGAAAAACCACACGCACCAGCAGGACATCGATGACCTCAAGCGGCAGAACGCACTGCTGGAGCAGCAAGGTGAGCTCCCCCCCAGGAAGGGGGTACAAAGGCCGTGCCCCTCCCCACCCTGGGCTGTGACACCCCCTGCCTTGCAGTGCGAGCCCTGGAGAAGGCGCGCTCGAGTGCCCAGCTGCAGGCCAACTACCCAGCAGCGGACAGCAGCCTCTACACCAACCCCAAGGGCAGCGCCATCTCCGCTTTTGACGGCGGCTCTGACTCCAGCTCTGACTCGGAGCCTGATGAGCCACAGAGCAGGAAGAAGCTGCGCATGGAGGCCAGCTAGGCCCCCCCACACCTGCCCCCTGGCCCCCTAAGGACTCACCCTTTTCTCCTCAAGGCTCCAGGGCTGCACCCTTGCAGCCCCCCGTGCCGGAATCCAGGGGGGGCCTGGGGGACCCCGACTGCGTGGAGATGCCCCCAACATCCCCCCTTTCCCCTCCCCCCTGCCGCTAGCGAGCCCCTCTCTGCGCCCCCTCTCCCCCTTCGATTTTATATGAGCATTTCTATTTATACCCAGGGACCACTGCAGCCCTGAGCTGAGCACGAGCCTGTGCAGGAGGCGGGCATCCCCCCCAGCCCCCATTGCCCACCTGTGGGCACCCCCAGGGGGTGAGCACAGGGCGGGGGTCTCGCTATTTATTTCCTGCGTGTGCAAGGCACCCCCCTGCCCTCCATGGCATGGAGCTGCAGGGCTCGGGCTGGGTGGTCTGCGTGTGCATCCTGCCCTATGTCCCACTCCTCCAACACAAACACCAGAAGCCCCCTCCCCACATTTGTGGCATTTCCCCACCTCTCCTCTCCCTGTAGGTGACCCCATTTTAACGCCATTCATTCCATGGATCTAAAGTATGTTGTACATACTGCTCAGAGTTGTCTTGCAAGTTAAGGCTTCCCTTTACTATAAGACTTATAAATAATAAAAAGGAAAAAAACCCAAAACTTATTTTATCCTTCCCCATGGTAACTGTGTTTTCTTGGGGTCGGGGAGGGGGGAGCAGGGCTGGGAACCCTCCCATGCTCCTTACTCACCCTGAGGGCAGGTGGCAGCTCTGCTTTATGGCCCCCTGGCTCCTTTTTGGTATGGCTAGCACCCTGAGGGCCTCACTCTGCCCAGATGGGTGGAGCACAGACCCCTACCCTGTTGCCTCCAGGCTGGGTATGGGCTGCTGCAAGAAGTGCATCACTGCCTTCACCACTTTTTCCGGCACAATGTTGTAGATCGGATGCGTGGGCTGCTGCCAGAGTGAAGGACAAAGCACTTTGAGCTTGAAGAAGCCCCAAAGTGGGAGTCCCGTATCCCCTCTCCCCCACCTACCAGGCGGTTTTCAGGGATGCCCAGGACCAACTCGTGGTGCAGATCTCCACTGCCGAAGTGCTGGGCAATGGCCAACCCGCTCAGGCAGTAGCAGGTGTGGTAGAAGTCCCGTGACCTGGGGGAGGGTGGGAGGCACACTGAGCAGAGAGATCTAGGGGTGCATTACCTCCCCCACAACCACCTCAGTACTCACTTTCCTGGCTTGTCCAGGAGCCCTCCAGCTGGGCACTGGCAGCACAGCAGGATGTACTCCTGCAGCGCCGACTGGTCGAACATCCAGCGTGACATGCTGAGTGCGTCGTCACCTGCACAGGAGAAGGGAGGGAAAGAAGGTCTGTTAAAACACCCCAAAACCACCCCAGGGAAAACTCTTTCTAACTAAAGGCCCTGCTTCACCCTCCAGGGCTATGCCACGCTTTGTTTCCTTGCTCAAGCTCATTCATTCCCCTTCCACAAACATGCTTCTTGGAGGCAGATGAAGCCCGTTTTCCCCGTTTTGGCCACTCACCCTGTGTGTGAAGGGCACGGTGCAGCAGGGGCAGCAGCCCTGCCTGCCAGAAGGAGTAGCAGCCATCCACAAGCTTGTTGCAGCGGCCCTGGAAGCCACCCTCGAAGTGCATCTGCCGCCCAGTCACCCAGTGCTGCATGGGATAGCAGGTTTCATCACCAGGAGTGGGTTTCACAACCAAAACCAGGACCCCCCCCCAGCACCACGGCACCCTGTGACACCCACCAGCAGGCTGCGCAGGTTCAGCAGGTGCTCCTTCTTCAGGATGACCAGCGCTGCCAGCCCACAGAAGGTGTACCCACCATGAGCCTCCATGCCTGGCACCCCGCCGATACCGCCTTCCCAGTTCTGGCACCTGCACAAGGACAACGCTGAGGATGGTGACAGAGAGGCCACCAACCCTGTGCCCACTCTGGGCCAGCACTCACCTTGCTATCCACTCAGCTGTCCCAGTGAACAGCGCGGGTGTGAGGACATTGGTCAGCGATGCCACTGCAGCAGCACAGTAGGCACTCCTGGGGGAGAAGGAGGCAATGTCCCTCTGTCCACAGCCCCGGTGAGGGCTGCAGAGAGTCAAAGAGGGGACAGCTCACCCACCTGACATCCACCTCACCACCTACATGCATAAGGAAGGAGCCATCGGGCTGCTTTAGTGTGTAGAGGTACTCCAGCAACTTCTGCCTGTGGAAGAATGCAGGTGTGTGGGGCAGCGTGGAGCTAGAAACCCCTCCACACACCCCAACCACAGCCCCACACCATCCTCCTGTACCTATCGATGATGCTATATGCTTCTTCTGTGCCAATGATGCAGAGCGCGTTGACAGCGGCATAAGTGGGGGCAAGGTGGGGGTGCTGGCCTGGGCCCCCCCCAAAGCCACCCTGGGGACTCTGGCAGCAGCTCAGGAACTGGCAGACACTGCAGGGACAAGGGAGACAGATGGGGACAGGAACCAGGGAAGCACACTGGGGTAGGGTTGGCAGGAGGGTGAGGGTCCCAGGATGGCACTGAGCCTTCCCTTAGCACATCCCATAGCAGCAAAGGGTTCCAGCCCCAGCTCAGCATCCCCAGGTATTTCCAGGGGGGTTCCCACCTTGGTGATGTGTCCCAACGACCTCGGGGAGCCCCCCACCCCAGGAGGTGGATGCTGACTCCTGTATCTCCCCCACCTCCGTCTGTCACGAGATGCTGGCCGGCAAGAATAGGCAGCATTGAGGGCTCCACAGGACACAAAGCACCGTTGTGCTGGCGCCAGGGACTCGGGGATGGCGGGAGGTGGCCCCAGAGGACATGGCAGCGGGCACCTCTGGGAGCGGGTGCACCCACACTGAGCAGCTCTGACATGGCTTATGGGGTGCAGACCCTTCAGTGCCCTCCAGGGCTGAGGAAGGACTTACTCAGAGGCGATCGACTGGGGAATGGGCTCCTCCAGCAGCTCCAGGCTGTGCAGGATCCAGTAGCAGAGCCAGGGGCGGCTGGCATCCAGACACTATAGGGACAGGGGGGACACGAGGGGCTACAGGCACTCTGGGAAGGGCAAATCACGAATCCACTGCCCCGGGGCACCCCATGGCACAGGAGCAGCCTCCAGGGCAGGAAGAACTCAGTGACAATTGAAGGGTTCACCAGGGAGCCCTGGGGCTGTGCTCAGTACCTCATATGCTTCACCCAGCTGCCGGAGGCCTCTCTTCAGGTAGTGGAAGTGCTTCTCCCTCTGCAGGACGAACCTGCAAAGCAGCAGGCAGGGCTCAGCAGAGCCCCAGCCCAGAGCATGCTGTGGGAGCACTCATGGGGGACTTACTGCACGGCATGGTGGTTCGTCTTGTAGGCATCGAACACTTCCTGCACAATGTCTTCCACTTTGCTCTGTGCCACAAGAAGTAGAGCACACAGTCAGTGCCAGGAGCTGCGACACCATGCAACCTGCACTCGCTTTAGGTCTAAGGTTAAAGTTTTCAGATCCCTCCCTGTCCCACCCCAGCACGCCAGGGCCAAGGGAGCTGATGCAAGAAGTACAGCTGGGGCTTCCTGGTCCCAGAGTTAAGCAACGCACCCCGGACTGGAGCAGGGGAGTTCACCCCCTCACTGCCTCACACCTGGGCCCATGGCACTCTCTGATCATGGCACTCAGACCCCAGACCCACGGCATTCCCCAACCACCGCCTCTCAGAACTCAGTTCTTCAGGCTTTGGCCCTCTCAGACCCCAGTCTCAGCCCCTGCCCTTCAGACCCCAGCTCCCTCAGACCCAGCTCCACGGCTCCGTCACAACCCCATGCTCTGCAAGCTCTCAGTCTTAGGCCCTTTCATATTCAGCCCCACAGCCCCCTTAGATCCCAGTCCCTCAGCCCCCAGTCCCACAGATTCCAGCCCCACAGCCCCCTCGGCCCCAAGTCCCTCAGCCCCAGGCCCCCTCCGCTCCCCGTCCCCAACCACTTCCACACCCCAAGCCCTCAGACCCCCCGGCCCCTCACACAGCAGTACCTCAGCCCCGGCCGTACGGCCTCTCAGACCCCAATCCCTCACTGCCCGACCCCACAGCCTCTCTCCCCGCACCTGCTCGGCGGAGGTGTGCGTCCTCACGCCGTCTTCCCGCAGCCGACGCCGACCGCCGGGGCCGTGCGGACCGGGGCCGGGCGGGGAGACCCCCGCCATGCTGCTGCCGGCCGGGCCGACGGCGGCCGGGCGGGGACATAAGACCACGCCCCTTTCGCGTTTTAGCCACGCCCTCTGCTGTTGGCCACGCCCACTCCTCTCTAAAGCCCCGACCACCCCGGGGCAGGCGGCGCTGCGTGGCGGCGCGCTGGCGTTGCGCGGTCACGTGACTCCGTGTCGCAGTGTGGCCGCGGTGTCACCTCGTGGCGCTGCGACGCTCGGGCCGCGCAGGCAAACCCCCAACCCTGGGGGTGTTCCGTGGGCTGGCTCGGGGTGTCCCCACCCCATCACCCCACTCGGTGCGGCCTCACAGTGACCTGCGGACGTCTCCCATTGTCCCCACCAACGCCCTGTGGTTTGTCCCATACTGTCACCCACATCCCCCCCTCCAAACCCACGCGTGTCCCCACCCCGTACCCCCTGCTGCATCTTCCCAGTGACCCAGCATGTCCCCCGATGTCCCCTCCAACGTCGCCCAGTTGCACCCCTATGCTGTCCCCTGCTGTGTCCCCAGCTGTTGCCCACATCCCCAGCTCCAAACACGTCCCCCTCCTTGTCCCATATCCCCCAGCCCCTCCCCGTGCTGCCTCCCAGTGACACAGGACATCTCCTGGTAGCCCCACTGGCGTCCTCCAGTGCATCCCCGGGTGTTCCTGCCGCGTCCCCACCTGTCACCCACATATCCTGCTCCAAACCCGTGTGTGTGCCCCCTGCACCCCCCTGGTGCATCCCCATGCCACCTCCTCCTGGTGACCCCCAGTGCATTCCCAGATATCTGCTGCGGTGTCACCCATGTCCTTTGGGTCCAAACCTGTGTGTGTGTCCCTGGTACCCCCTTAATGCACTGTGGTTCCTCCCAGTGCCTTGGCTGCAACTCCAGGTGTTCCCATTGGTGTCCCACGGTCCACTCCATACACCCCATACTGCTGCCTCTAGGTGCCCCAGGACATCTCACATTGTCCCTGTTAGTGTCCCCCACTGCATCCCTTTCTGCCCCTTGCTGCGTCCTCATCTGTCACTCACATCCCCTGCTCCAAACTCATGACTCTTCATTGTCCCATACCCCCCCCGCGTATCCCCATGATGCCTCCCAAAGACCCAGGGGGCATCTCCCAGTATCCCACCGCACATCCCTGGATGCCCCCTTCTCTGTCCCCTACATTCCCCGCTCCAAAACCGTGTGTGCCCCCACCTCGTACCCCCATGGTGCATCCCTCATTGCCTCCCCCCCTTCCCCCCCATCCCTCCCGCCTCTCCTTCCCGGTGCCCGGCGCATCCCCGCGCCCCGCCCCGGTGCCATCCCGCAGGATCCCCTCCCCCGGCCCGGCGGCGGCGCGAGGCCGCCATGGCCAAGCAATACGACGTGCTGTTCCGCCTGCTGCTGCTCGGCGACTCGGGCGTGGGTAAGACGTGCCTCCTGTGCCGCTTCACCGACAGCGAGTTCCACCCGGCGCACATCTCCACCATCGGTACCCGCACCGGGGATGCGCGGCGCCGAGGGGTGGGAGCTGGGAGACGGGAAACCGGGCGGGTAGCGGGAGCTGGAAGCAGTGGGAAAGCGGGGGTAGGGGGGGGCTGGGAGCAGAGCAAAAGCGGGGGCGACGCGAGCTGGGAACACCCGGGAACCTGGAAACCGAGGGTACCGGGAGCATCGCGGCGCCGGGAAACCGGGAGCACCGGGAAACCGGGGGCACCGAGAGCTGGGAGCGATGGGAGAATGGGAAACCGGTAGCGACGGGTAGTGGGAAAATGGGAAACTGGGAGCACCGGGAGGTGGGAGAATCAGGAAGAGGAGAAATTGGGGGCTGGGAGCACCGGGGAACCTGGAAACTGGGGAAGCGGGAGCTGGGAGAAATGGAAAAATGGGGAGATGGGAGCTATGGGAAACTGGGAGCACTGGGGGCATCGCAGCACCAGGAAACAGCAGGGAAACCAGGGGCACCGGGAGCCACCACACTGGGGACAAGGAGCAGTGGGCAGCTGCAGAGCTGGGAGCATCGGAGGGCAGCGGAAGGAGCTCCGTGGGGGCTCAGGGTGGCACAGCACAGCTTGCTGTGGGTCAGGAGGGCTGAAGGGGTCTATGGGGGGGCGTCCCCAGTCCCGGCTGAATGTAGGGAGGGAGCACGGAACAGTCCCACCCCCAAGGAAAAAAATAATGATGATAAAGCTGCCCTCCTCCCATCCAGGGGTGGACTTCAAGATGAAGACGATCGAGGTGGATGGCATCAAGGTGCGCATCCAGATCTGGTGAGTGCCTGGGGGGGCCGCACCCATGGTGCCCCCCCCTCGGGGTTCATCTGAGGCATGGGGTAAGGAATAACCACTCCAACCCCCTCCATGCTCCCAGGGACACGGCAGGGCAGGAGCGGTACCAAACCATCACCAAGCAGTACTACCGGCGGGCACAGGTAATAGGGGTACGAGGGGGAGAAACTGAGGCACGGGGAGGTCAAAGTGCTGCCCCCTCCCCCCTCCCTGGTGCCTTTCTTGCAGGGCATTTTCCTAGTATACGACATCAGCAGTGAGCGCTCCTACCAGCACATCGTCAAGTGGGCCAGCGATGTGGACGAGGTGGGGGCTTGGAGGGGGGTCCCTTTCATTTATAGGTGAGGTGGGAGATGCTGATGTGCTCCCTCCTCCCCCATCCCTTCTCTTAGTATGCACCCGACGGCGTCCAGAAGATCCTCATTGGGAACAAAGCAGATGAGGAGCACAAGAGGCAAGTGGCCAAAGAGCAAGGGCTGCAGGTGAGCTGGTGGGGTGGCACTCCCTGTGTGGCCAGGGTCCCCCCAGGGCACCAGGACCCCCCCCCCCGGAGCCTCCTGCACCCTGAGCATCCTCCTGTGTTCCCCCCAGCATCACCCAAGATCTACCTCCAAATGCACCCCCACCTCCAGCCTCCCCTAAAATGTCCATTGCCCCACACCCCAATGCATGGCCATAGACTGTGCACCCCACGGGACCGTCTGTCTGCCCCATGATGTTGAGAAATGGGGGGGTGACCCCTCACCCCAAAATCCTATCGGCACCGCCGAGCCCTTTGCCTCGCAGCTTGCCCGGGAGTATGGAATGGACTTCTATGAGACCAGTGCCTGCAGCAACCTGAACATAAAGGAGGTGTGTGGGGCTGACGGCGGGTGCCTCCCACCCCATCCCAAAGGCTGACCCCATTTCCCCGCAGTCCTTCACCCGACTGACGGAGCTGGTGCTGCAGGCGCACCGCAAGGAGCTGGAGGGGTTGCGCACTGCCACGGCCCCCCCTGAGCTGACCCAGCTGGAGGAGGATGAGCAGCAGACCCCAGGGGGGCATGACAACCCCAAAAACTGCTGGTGTTGAAGCCTGGCCTCCCCCAGCCTTGCTACAGAGGGGGCATGGCGGGGGGACACAAGGAATGGGGACTTACCCCTACTCCACTGCAGCCCCTTGGTGTTTGGGGGGGACCCAGGCACTGTTGGCACACCCTGCAACCCTGTTTTGCACATTGTTTCCACAATAAAGGAGATACTGGAGCCCCTTCACCGGGAACGGTGTCACCTGGCGGTGCCACCGTGGCGTCCCCGGCACTGCGGCAACCCGAGCAGTGATGAATAATGGAGGGGACCCACTAGTGTCCCCTTTCCCAGGGTGGGGACAAGGTTGTGGAGATGCAGCGGTAACAGGGCCATGGGCACCAAGCAGCGGGCACTGGGATGGGTGGGAAATGGATGGATGGTGGTGGGAAGTGCGGGCATTAGGATGATCATAGGCGCCGGGATGGAGGGGCAATGGGATGGTGGTGGGCATCAGGGGAGAGGTGGGCACTGGAACATGTTGGTATCAGGGTGGCAGTGAGCATGTGGTTGGGTGGGCAGTGGGTTTTTGGTGGGCATCAGGGTGGTTGGGCATTGGGTTGCTTACTGGGATGGGTGGGCATTAGGACGGTGATGGGCACTAGCACGTGCAGACACTGGGATTATGGTGGGCACTGGGATGGAATGACATTAGAAGGGTGGTGGATAATGGGGCATACGTGCGTGAGGATGGTCATGGGCACTGGGAAGGGTTGTGCAGTGGGGTGGTGGCAGACACCTGGATATTGGGGCATTAGGATGCTGTTGCTTATTGAAACCAGTGGACATCAGGATGGTGATGAGTGCTGAGATATGTGAGTTGGCAACAAAATGATGGCCACTGGCACTTGTGGTTATTAGGGTGGTTATGGACAATGCAACAGTGGGCACCAGGGCAGGTGAGCTTTAGGACACTGTCACTCCCTGGATGAGTGGGCATTGGGATTATGATGGGCACTGGGACAAGCTGACATCAGAACAGTGCTGGCTGTGGGCATTAGGATAATCACAGGCAGTGGGACAGCATTGGACATCAGGATGGATGGGTACCAGAATGACGACATGTAGGCAACAGGATTATGGCTGGCACTGGGATGCTGATGGACACTGGGACATGTGGGCATCAGGATGGTGGTGGGCACCGGGATGGGCGTGCACTAAGGACAATGTGGGGGCACACACAGCCAGCACCCTCCACCCACCCCCTGGCTGCTTCTAGCTCCATGCTGTGGCAGCCACATCAATAATTGAGGCCGGTGGCACTGCCCTAGCCTTCCCCCGCCCTCTCCCTGGGCAGGTGCCAGCAGGTGGGCTGGCTCTGCTTTCCACCCAGTCACAGCGTGGATGCTGTCACGTGGGCACGGGGCAGCCTTTAAGGCAGGCAGGCGGGTGGCAGAGCACATCATCACCTGCAGCCATGAGCATCCCCATCGCCAAGTCCTTCTACGACCTCAGCGCCACCTCCTTGCAGGGGGAGAAGGTGGACTTCAACGTCTTCCGCGGGCGGGTGGTCCTCATCGAGAACGTGGCATCGCTCTGAGGCACCACGGTGCGGGACTACACCCAGCTCAACCAGCTGCAGGCACGCTACCCACGGCGGCTGGTGGTGCTGGGTTTCCCCTGCAACCAGTTTGGCTACCAGGTAAATCTATGGGAATGAGGGGATGTGGGGTGGCGGATGACGCGGCTCAGCCCCTCGTACCCTTGCCAGGAGAACGGCACCAATGAGGAGATCCTCAACTGTCTCAAGCACGTGCGGCCGGGGGGCGGCTTCGAGCCCAACTTCACCCTGTTCCAGAAGTGCCAGGTGAACGGGAAGGACACCCACCCCGTCTTCGCCTACCTGAAGGCCCACCTGCCCGCCCCTGTGGATGAGGCAGACCACCTGATGGCCGAACCCCGTTTCCTGGTGTGGAGCCCTGTGCGGCGCTCCGACATCTCCTGGAACTTTGAGAAGTTCCTGGTGGGGCCCGAGGGGGAACCTTTCCGTCGCTACAGCCCTCGCCTGCCCACCGCCCAGATAGAGCCTGATATCCAGCGCCTCCTCAAGCTGGCCAAGTAGGGCCGTACTCCCCCCCCCAGATAGCCCCCGTCCTCTGCCAGGTGATGGCCCCCTCCGAAACCCCCATGGGGAGGGAGTCTGATGGGGTGGAGGGCTGGGGCTGCTGGGATGGGGCTGGCGGCAATAAACAAACTGGAGGCAGCATCCAACCCCCCTGTTTGTGCCCCCCTTCCTGGTTTTTGAGACACCGAGCACATGGGATGCAGGAAGTGGCTGTGCAGAATGGAACGGTGCCAAGCACAGTGGCAGGGAAGGAGAGGGAGAGGTGGAAGCAATTTCTGCAGCCTCACAGTGAGGGCGTGCCATCCTGCCCTGCCCATGACAGGAATGAGTGCCCTCAAGGGGGGCACAGCAAGCAGAGTGAGGCGACAGCCCTAGAAGGGCTTTGGGTGGGGGGTGGTTGGGAGCAGAGCAAGCACTGGGAAGTGGGGCACAGGAGAATGACATCACCCCCAGCCCGTTCCCACTAAGGGGGGGGAGGGGGAAGAAGAGGGGGAACAAATACAGAGTGCTCCTGCATGCAGCTCTGAGCTGTATCAAATTCACCTTTATTGCTCGCACTCTTTAGGCAGCTGTGCTGCACAGAACCGTCTCATGGTGCCAACAG